GTACTCCTGCTTCAGAAGCTGGGCCGTCGCCTTCTTTGCGCGGTCAAAACTGACGCGCTTCGCCGCAATAGCCTCACACGCCTCCTTAGCATAGCTCTTCGCCCCCAATGGCTCCCTGTACTCCGCTGGTACAGAAGTGAGGATAGCCTCCAACATTGACATGTTATCTTCTTCATTTTCGGTGCCCTTGTCAACAGCATTCCAGAGTCATCGGGCTCTAAGCTTGACCTTCATGGTCACCGACCGCTCTCCATGTTTGGTGCGAGTCAGCGTCGACCAACTGGTGCCGCTGACCTCCCGCACTGTGCGAACAACGACCTCTTGTCGTGGCTGGGCAGCCACAGTAGTGCCACTGTTGTCGCCCATTTCCGAATCGTCCGTCATCGCCAGCGGTTAGTCCGACGACGGCGCTTGTACGGCTCTGATACCATTTGTTAGCCCAGTAGATCACCGACTCAGGTGAGTCGACCATTCACCAGTCTTGCCGACAACGACAGACGCTATCCGACCACACACTATGGCTATAAGTAGAAGAAGAGAGGGAGAACAGAGCATACACACACAGCCAGAGACACCAGCTTGGCCGAAGCTGTGTATAGGAGATGATAAATCTGAACTCTTTTTACTGAGTTGTAGTGGCAAACTATATATACAACTCTACCCATCTAGTCCTAGTACAGCTGTCATGCTGTAACAGTGACTAGATAACACAGCAGTACTGATTTTAGTGACTAGATAACACAGCAGGGCTGATTTTGGCGCCAGCTCCTGCCATGGCTACAGCGCAGCAGGTGAGCCCTTCGACGCCTACCCCTACAGCGGCTACAGTAACACAACAGAGTACTTTTTCGGTGCCGCCTTCCTCTACCATGTGTTCACACAAGGGAGCATTAAATTATCTAACACTGATGCCAGCTTTGGGTGCTCCAAGGCGACGTCAATGCTTCCAAGCATACGAACCTTGAAGAAGTACCAGAAGGCTTCTTGCTCCAAGTAAGGCAGTGTAGTTCCAAAACTGACGATCTTGTTGGATCTGCTTGTGATGATGACTTTACTGCCACGCTGAATGCGACTTGTCGAAGCTGAATACAGCCTTTGCCACAGGCCCTCGTCAAGATCTCCATCCAATTCGACAGTGATCAGTACCTTGCCTCCACCCAAGGATGGGTTATCATACTTGATCACACCACCATCTTCAAGAGTCACCATGTGTTCACCTTTAAGATCATCACCTGTAAGAAACACAATTCTTGAGAAGTTCCAGCGCACCCTTTCATCAACGCAGGCATGCTCGACGAGGGTGTTCTTTTCAACATATTGTGGGCCGATGATAGGTAGGACACCAAGAGGTTCGACGCTTGGAGCCTGTGCTTGCAGCAGGAAGTTGAGAAGGTGTTCCATCAACACCTGGCGACCAAACATGCAGTTGTCCAAAAGCAGATACATGTTATAGGGTTCACGGGAAATACGAGGATATCTAACTGAGAGCATAATGAACTCGGCTGCATCTTGAAGAGCAGTCTCTAGGCTTCCGAGGACTCTCGATAGCTCTTTGCAGCTCTCGTTGTTACCACTGCAGATGCAGAGGCGCTTTGCAGGATTGAATCTAGATAGAGCGAAAGAGTGACGACCTGCTGCTGGTGTATGGCCTTTAGCCTTTTCTCCCTCATTATTATCTTGGCATACAAAGGCATCCAGCAAATAGTGACCTCTGTAGAACTCAATTCTCATCATGCTTAACTGGTGCAACATGGCCTTATTTGTGATCCATCGTCCTTCTGTATCCTCAATGATGGCACCAACCCGCAACAGCTGGTGTCGCAGGCTGTCCACCATGCCCTCCTTGTTCAGCGCCATTAGCTTCCACCACTTGTTGATGAGAAAAGATATGGACCTATTGGCGATTTCAATCACGACAGCAGAAACAATCACCTCCTCTATCTTGGGAAACATTTTCTCCTGTTTCAGCAATGGAAAAATGGATCAAGAACCGATCGAGAGAATATATTATGCTCCTACTAAGTAGGAAATAATGTAACAGAAGATCCTACGCACGCAGGAGGTTCTGTCGCTTCAATACTACCAGCAGCTACATAACACAGGTGCCACCCAAGCTTTGGTTTTGACTACTATTTAACCGCGGTAGGGTTATTAGCATGAAGGGGCTGAGATCGGGGAGAAGCAAGATAATGCGAGATGACACAGATCACCAATGGCAATGGGGGCCGGTGACTGAAACTGATAGGATTTGTTTATTAAACCATAGCGACAGGGACGAGAATCAATTTAGACTGAGTGGCCAATGTCAGTGCGTGGAGGACCAAATCAAATCACTTGGCCCATGGCAGCTGCTTCCTAGCTCCGGACTTGGCCCATGGCAGCTGCTTCCTAGCTCCGGTCTCTACTGGTTCAGGATGAAGAAGAGGTCTGGGGGAGAAGCGCTAAAATAGTGTTCGGTGACATCAAGGTTGACTTGGTTAGGATCTAGGAAGGATCGTGTTTGGTCGAGAAGGATCAGATCATAGATGGGATTACATGAGAAACTTTTTTTTACAAAAAGAAATTATTTTGTATTTGTAAGAAAAAATTACTGGAATACCTAGCAGCCATGTACTAAATAAAACTGACTAAAACTACCATGACACATGCGCATACACCATGATATTTTTCGTAACACTGTCCAGGTGAAAGACATAGAAGAGGGATCTCTCTGTGTTCTCTCTCGCATGCAGCTGGCGCGGGCATAGGGATGTGTATGACGCAGTAGCAGGAGGAGGTGTGGGGGCGCAACAACAGCAAGACGAGGCTCGTGTTTCAAAAAAAATAAAGCAAGAGTAGACGCGGAGCGCATCTGGCGCAGCAGCATGCGTGGGCGTGCGGACGTGCCGTCCGGTTGCTAGCATATCCCATGTATATACGGTTTTTCATTTTTAGGACGACGGCACTCAAGTGACAATTCCATTACTCGAGCAAGTGGACAACTTCGCAGCCACGAAAGCCGGAATAGAGCAGAAGCACGGCGGCCGCCGTGAGCTGAAGAAGCTGATATCCGAGAGTCCATCTTCCTACTCAGCTTCGGCACAAAGGACCTCTTCCACGTGTGGTACTTGCAGAACCTAAGGGCCATGGACAAGCAGACCAGCGTGCAGTACCTGCTCTCCTCCTACGGAGCCGGCATCGAGACCCTCTTCCATGCTGGCGCCCGGAAGTTCGCGGTCATCAACGTCCCCCCGATCGGCTGCTCGCCGGCGGGTCAGATGCCGTGGCGTGGCCGTGGATATGACCGTCGTTACGTCCGCGGGAGGTGCGACGAAAGCAAGAACAAGCTCGCCGCGGGGTTCAACGACGGGCACGGCCGCCCCCTGGCCAACCTCAGCTCTCGCCTCCATGGCTTCCGCTACTCGCTTGCTGACTTCTACGGCTTCGCGAATGCAACCTTTGCAAACCCGTCGGCTACTGGTATGTCTATAGTACATTCAATTTGTAGTATAAGTAGTAACAGTAGTGGCGGCAGTGATCTAATGTTGTGTTGTGTGATGATTTGCTGACCGATGACCATTATATTGATGATATGATGAAGGATTTGTGAACGAATGCCCCTACTCACAGGAAGTCTGGAGCCTTGTTGCAATTTGGGCTGGATGTTTAAATCTGCATCCCTCCCCTGACTGCCTGAACATGACATGGAGGACTGGTTTTACCGGCTTACCAATCAAGGCACTAAAAGGGCGCACACACTTGCAATCCTAACACTTTGGTGTCTTTGGAAGCAGAGGAATGCCGTGGTCTTCAGAGATTCAAAAAAATCGGCACAGTCGCTCTTCACAGAGATCAAAGATACGTGCTCCTGCTGGATCTCTGCAGGAGGAAAAGTTCTAGCTCTACCTGGTAGCTCAATGTTTAGTGAGTAATCGTTTTCTTGTTTTCGCCAGCTACGCAGTGCTACTGCATTAGGCTTCGCTCCTCGCGCATGTAATAGACGTTTGTCTCTGCTTACTCTTGCTTATTAATATGATCAAGCCGGGCAACCGGATCTTAAAAAAAATGCTGCGGAAGCCCCTACATGGCCGCTGATCTCAGCAACGGGCCGTGCGTGAACCGCGAGCACTACTGGTTCCGGACGGAGGAGGCCGCCAAGCTAGCCGCTGCTGCATTTCACAATGGCCCGCCACAGTTCACCGTGCCCCTGAACTTTAACAAGTTGGTTCCCTGTGGCCTGTAGTAATAAGTTGGTGGGGACTTCCTGTCTGCATGCTTGCTTTCTTCTATGAATTTTTGAGCCTTAAGCCAAAAGAACGTGTACTTCCTTCGTCCACGAGAGATACAATTATGGAATCAAAGTTTATAGTAAATAATATTAGTATTTATGTCTCAAAATAAATTATTATGAAAATATATTCTATAACAAATCTAACGATACTTAGTTTGTATCATGAATATTACTACTTTTTTATTTTAATTTAGTCAAAATTTATACCGTTTGACTTCTCGAAAAACGAGAATTGCATTCTTCTTTTGAAAGAGAGAGTAGTTGACAGAAGCAAGAAGAATAAACCTACACTCCTACAGTGAGTGTCGAACAAGGTCCAAAAATTAGTTACTGTTAACCAGTTTATAGGCACCATCTTATAGGCAAGTGAACAGCCAACCAAACCTTAAGCAAGGTACCGAGTTACTGTTCAATAGTTTATTTGCAGACACAAAAATACACCAGACAAACATAACAGCACAAAGCCACAGCCTTCATCCCAAAATGATACAGTATACACCAATGGATCGAGAAAAATGCTTATCATGAGACTCATCGGAGCATAGTGACAGCCCACAAAAGGAGGAACTCAGTATTTTCATTATCCTGCCAACAGTAAATACGCCCTAACTAATTTAGGGCGGGCTGCAATGGCAGCTTGGCAGGACAAAAAGCACAAAGCACAGACACACACGCACACAAGCACATCGGCCGTATCAATATACACCTGGATCCATCCAGGTTACTAAGCTCAGCTGAACAAATTGGGAATGCAGGCTCCTGTGTCAGGATTCTGCTGCTCCTTCCAGATACGGCCAGTGACCCGCAGTTTCAGCTCTTTCCTATCTCCACCTGAGAAGAAGAGAGCCATGTTGCGCTGAATTATTAGGCCATCATGGCTGTCCCTAACCTTCCGGTGGCTGTCCCGGATGCCGCGGGGAGTTCCCTCCCATATCATCTTCCTGCCATTTGCACCAACCTCAAGGCTATAGCTGTAGTTCCTAGCATCATTTTCATCACCCATAAACCGGAGGAAAGCCATGTATACTGGTGCCATTCCAAGCTGAAAGGCCTCAAAGTGCAAGCAAAAGTACTGCCCAAAACAATGAAAAACCTAGAAGGAGATAAGATAGTATCAGACTAAATTCACTTGATTCAAAAATAGATAAAGCACAACTTTCTTATATCATCATAGTATCATACTAGTGAAATGTGGTCACAAAATCTTGTTCCACTAGCTGAATGCATATCATGTGTTTGATTCATGTATTTCCAATGAGGGATGTTGAAAATAACTGATGATGCGATAAGTAAACATCTGTTATCTATACTAACATAAACTGATAAAACAAGGCATGAAGGCAATCGAGACTACTATAACTTAATTCAAACATAGATAAAGCATAACTTCCTTGATTATGTAGTAGAATATGATAAAAAATTGTTTCCTTAGCTGTGGCGATTTAACTTATTTCCAATGAGGAACATTCAAGACAACAGAAGGTAAGATATAAAAAAATCTGCACTACTATAAATCTTATCTAACTGGTTAATAAAGAAAGCAATAAAGAGATCAAAAAAATTATAAATATAAGGGGATACTTACAGTTAGCATCCAGGTTGCATTTTCAACCTCTCTTGGGTTGGACTTGACATAGCGGTGATTAAATGTACATCCAGAGTGCATGTCCACTTTATGATCATCTCGTAGATGTGCCACAAGAAAAGGAATATCCCCAACAACTGAGCATTCAGAACCAGCATAAGGGCAGTTGTATGGCCTAAAGTTACACTGTGACTCATGCTTGAGTTTGCTGTAGTATGGGAAGACTTCTGGACATCCAAGAGAGTAGTATTTGCAGGGGAGCTCAAGTGATTCAGCCACTTTTTCTAATGCCAGACACCTGATGTCACCGAGCTCTTGTCGACAAGTTGGGCAGCGGTTGTGCACCCGAGTTTTGCAGGTGGAACACAGAGTATGACCATTTTGGCACTGTAACATAGGGAAAAATATCAGTCTGTTACAAGCTAAATTTTTATGTCGATTGTTGAGTCATGACTTTCAAATGCTAAACCTAGAAAATTCAAAGTTTCATATAATAAATACTAAAACTAGGATGTATGGTTTCATTTACATGGTTTCTAGAAGAGATGAACAACAGGGAATGGAAAATAGTTCCATCAACAAACATATATTGTTCAATGTACTAGAACAAAAAAGGATTATACTAACACAATGGATATGAAAGATACGTACACACAGCTTCATCTCTTAAAGATTTATGTGCCATACTATAAAATTCAGACCACACAGCAACATTTGGTATGTACTTTGTTTTAACCTTTACTGGTGTACTCGAAAGATTGCTTGACTTGTGAATTCTAAAAGCTCCAAACAAGCTAACTTTGCAGAAAAGGACACCACGTAAGTGCAATACTTTTAATTGAATATACAACTAATTAACCTTTCTTACAGATGTGTATCCTAATGTGCCCTATCCTTATAAAAGAAATCCTTTGTGTGCAAGTTATCACCCAATTGGAAAATTGTGAAAATATGTTAAGATGGTCAGCTTAAGCCCTGTGAGCAAGAAACAAAGAAACTTCACCCTCCCACCCCCAACACACAAAAAGAGTAAAGGAAAAGGAAATCAAATAGGAATGTAGACAAAAAGAAAATGCACAATACTGCGGCATTCTACTTGCTATTGGGTAAATGAGCTCAAAATGGGAATTTATATATAGAGGAACGAGTAAATGAGCTCAAAAACAAATTTTGAAGATGCCTAGTCAGCAACCAAACTACTAAAGAGAACTGCATAACTCATCAAGCAACAGGAAACTTATTGGTCGAGATTTTTACTGGTTAGTTCAGAATCAAACATGAAAGCTTTAGAGCATCCCATGGTTGAATGAATGTTGTGTTATTTGTGTCTGCAAAAAGAGACATATTGGAATCATGGTGTGCTATTCAGGAAACTATCATAGAACATCAATAAAACCTTATCAATATATAAGGTTATTGAAACACACTCCTGTGAGGAATATATAAGGAGCTTAAAGTAAATAAATTCAACAATTATTGAAATGTTCAATTTTGGAGAGACAAAATTTCCTGTGGGAACTATGCAAGAGCAGTAATCCACAAAGAATTCTGTAGGCTCAGAGGAATCCAAAATACACAACAGTAACTTAAAGAACAAATGATACGATTAAACCAAAAGGACATCTCTAGTTTGCAAAAACCATACCTTCCTCATGTATATGGGCATGAAAGCATGCAAACACAACATCCTTAAAAGCGCAAATAAACTAGAAATGGAAACTGTTGGGACTTTTTTCATTGGGTTTTTTGGAACCATACCATTACAATTTTGCAAGTTTAGAGATATGCCATTATAATTCGTCTATTTGGAGAAGTGCCATTATAATTCTGTCTCTCCCTCATCCATACCATTTTCTACACCTCCAGCGTACATGGACCCACTATCAGTCATGTATACATACAGAAAACGCGTATGAATGTCATGTCCCGGCTTCTTTCCGTCAGAAGAAGCCCGCCCACGGCGGTCAGCCTGCAAGGGGGAGCGGCGGCGCTCGCCCGCGGCGGCCAGCGCACAAGGAGGAGCGGCGGCGCTCACCTGCAGCGGCCTGCGCGCAAGGCGGAACGGCGGCGCTGGCGCACGGTGGCCTGTGTGCGAGCGGAACGGCAGCGAGCGCCCGCGGTGGCCTGTGCCCGAGCGGCGCGGCGGCGAGCCCGCGAGGCGGAGTTTGCGACGAACGCCCGCGGCGGCCTGCGTAGAGGTCGTGCTGAGTCCAGGAAGAAGCATGTGCCGACGAACACCGCCGTGGCGCTGGTGACGACTGCGATGGGCATCAGGCCGGGACTATCGCGGCGGAGGCACTCGCCCAGCCCGAGCTCTGGACTGCGTCGCTGAAGACGCTCACCTGCGAGGTCATGGGCGTGCTCATCAACAAGTCCAAGTCGGTGACCATGAGCAAGTGGGACGCGCGGTGCTTGTCCGTGGAGCAGGTCCAGTACGCCTGCATCGACGCGTTCGTATCTTATGAGATTGGCCGGTTGCTGCTCACGGTAAGTGCGCGGAACGTCCAGCAACCAGTGCAATGATCTCACCGTTCATTGCTTCTGTGGTTCCAGACTTCCGGTGGCTTAAGCTTTGGACTGGACATCATTTTTCTAGTGTCACTTTGTTTTTCTAGCTTACTAAGTTCAGGCACTACAGCGTTGCCCTAGCCTGCTGCAAACTGCAACAACAAGCATGTGAAGGTGTACGAGCGCGACGGGGACGAAGCGTGGCACTCGCAGAGGTCGTGCGAGTCTGGGAAGAAGCGCGCGCCGATGGACGCCACCACGGCGTTGGTTAGGAGCGCGATGGACATCAGGGACTGGCGCGTGGCGAGCCAGAGGTAGCACATGGCGAGCAGGATAAGCAGCGTGTCGCCGAGGTCATACAGCTTGGAAAGGTAGAACACGCGCGCCCAGAATAGAAGACGGCGGCGTGGAGAGCGCACCAGCGGCCATGGCGATAGAGAGCGCTAGCACGGCGTTAAGGCTAGGGCGGCAGATGCCGCACGAGCGCGCCGGTCGAGGAGCGCGCGGATGCGGGCGATTTGCGAAGCACCATGGCGAGGTAGCCGCAGATGATGGCTGCCGCCGCTGGACGCGCTGTTGCGCCGACCGCCGTCGCGCTTTGTTGACCGCGATGTGAACGAGGCTACGGCTCCGCACATCCAGCTGCCAACAGCTGCGGGCGAGCGCCGCCGCTCCGGCTCACGCGCAAGCCGCCGCGAGCGGGTTTGTTCTAACGGAGGAGGCGGGGCTTGACATCCATACGTATTTTCTATACCTATATGTGCCTGACAGTGGGCCTATGTAAGTGGGATACGTATAAAATGGCATGGATGAGGGAGAGACAGAATTATAATGGCACTTCTCCAAATAGACGAATTGTAATGGCGTATCTCCAAACTTGCAAAATTGTAATGGTATGATTCAAAAAAAACCTTTTTCATTAGATACATGGAAGGGCATAGATATTGCTTCCAAAGGAACCCAGCACTCTGTAAACATCTGCCCTAACCCTCATTTTTGCTTCTCAGTGTTAAATACACTACAAGCATCGAAGGGCATAGATATTGCTTCCAAAGGAACCCAGCACTCTGTAAACATCTGCCCTAACCCTCATTTTTGCTTCTCAGTGTTAAATACACTACAAGCATCGAATGCACGAATGCCATGAATGACCAGGCTAATTCAATCCTCATCTGTTAATGCTCTGCCTCACATTCTGATTCCAGGCACAAGCATAAACTCACTCAAATGAGATGCTACTCGATGCGGCACACTGATTTCACTCGAAGACTAGAGACCTCGGTGGAACAGCTACACACGATCCATTACTAGTTTACTACTAACAAATATGGGAGGAAACTAGATTGAGATTGATAACATCAATATGTCAAAGCGGCAATTACAATCATATTTTATGTTTCTCTGTACCTAAACTGCAATTATTACACAGTTAGCAACACGGTTCGTAGGAAGCAGAGCATGAGCAAGACGCATGGCCAAGCATATGTGATAGTTGAAGAAGCAAAAGTTATTCCCTTCATATCACTCAAATGTACCGATTACGCATGCCTGGGGACAGAAAGATTGTGGGGAATTAAGCGGCCAGGTGTCCCCATGACCAAAAACCCCGAGCACAAGCAACAAAGATCCTACTCCTATACTGGGAGTAGGAGCAGATCACGCAACCCTGGCAGGGCTAACACATGCCAAGATCTCGAAACGAAGGCACGATAGGAATCGGGGGCGGGGGCGCACCTGGTGGATGGGCGGGTACATGGAGTTGGTGCAGACGGGGCACTCGAGCAGCTCGTGCACGCCCGTGGCCGGCGATATCACCAGCGGCCCCGCCCCCGCTACCGGCCCGGCAGCACCGGCGCGGTCGGAGACGACGACCACGTTGACGGCCGCGGCGGCGGCGGCTGTACCGGCGGTGGAGGAGGATTTGAGGAAGGGGCGGGGGAGCTGGGACGAGGTGACGGCGGCGGTGTCGTCGTCGTCCTCCATGCCGTCGGAGTAGGACACGCACTCGATGCTGTCCAGCTCCATGCCCCGCAGCAGATCGAGCGGAATCTTGACGGGTGCCCAAGTTGTGGCGAGGCTCAGATTCGGCTCTTTCTCTCTCCCCTTTCCTCGCGCGGCGGGCCCGGATTGTTGGACGAGGTGCTCCGGGCTCCGAGGACTCGATCGAAGAACTCCAAGGGCGCGGGCTGCGAAGGAGGGGACGGGGAGCGGAGCAGAGGAGAGGGGATGATGGTGAAGGGAGGAGGAAATTGGGGAGAGAGGCCGAGGGAGGAATGTGTGTGGGGTCGGCGGTTGCGGCGGGTGGTGGTGGGGGCACTTGATTGTGCTCTGATGCGGTGGGGTTGGGTACCCAGCACGGCGTGGGCGTGGTGCCTTTTTCGGGTGGGTTTTATTGATGACGGGCTGCAGGCAGCCTGCTGCTGTGGTGTGGTGTGGTGCGGTGTGGTGCGGCGCACGTTCAAATTTGAACCTGTCGCCCGGCGGACGCAGGAGGACAGCGGGGTTGGGCTGGCCGGCGCTGGGGACAACCGCCGGCGGTGGCGGACGCAGAGCAGGATTAAATGGGACCGGTGTCTTCTTCTTCCTCTCTCTTTTTATTTTTCTTTTTTCCTCCACTTCTTCTTCTTTCTTATCATCCTCATATTTCCATTGATGCACCAGCTGTAGGGGGGCTAAAGCCCCCCCAGCCCCCTGTAGATCCGCCCCTGACCGCCGGGGCACATGTCTGTTTCAGGAATTTACGGTGTCGTCGTGGACTGGACTGGGACCTGGAGACAAAGGGGCACACCAATTAGTTGTGCGGCTATGCACCATGTACATAGGACAAATATTTTGGTTATATTATATACAAAGATTCTAGGATTTCTTCTCTCTTCTTTTGCCATTTTGGTGTAACCTCTCCTCCCTTGGCCACTTGTGTAGAAATTTGTATGTCAAGCTACTACTTGTGTGCAAGGTTATCAGGATTAGGATCCTAGGTAGTAGTATACTTTTTTTGCCAAACAATAGCGAATTATACGATAGTATCGGGATACTATCGGATTTTATAAAGAATATATTTTATGTATGCTTTGTAATATATTGCATAGATTCAAGGGAATTATATATTTTATGTATGATTTGTAATATGTTGCATAGATTGAAGGCTATAATTTTTTGTATTATTTCAACACCTCTTAACTTTAAATAGTATTTTATCATAATCGAATCATTTAAAATTTCATTTATAACTGATGTCATGGTATCATAGGATCTTAGTTTCAAAATACTATGAAATTTTATGTAGGATCGTGTGGAGCCTTTAGGTAGGATCAAGATACTATAAAATTTAGGATACTCGGTAGGATCAGTGTCGTTTCGACTTGATAGGATTGTAGTATTATAATATTTTAGGATATAGATCGGAATATTAATAAAATTACTCATGTGCGTCTTATGCGCTCTAAACCTCGTATTGGGACACCTTACCCTATATATTCCTGTCTATGTGCGTTAATTGCGTGACAAAAACACTAAACTAAACCAAGAGAAAAGAAAAACATAGTGCTCTATTTGGATGTGGATATTCAGAGGAAGGAATTGATTGGTCTGGAATACCAAAGATGACTGGAAATGAAAATGGCCTAGAATACCAATGTCATTGTTTTTATGTGCAAGTAGTTGATAGCTCAAATCAGAAGGAAGCTGACAATTCCAATTCCTAGTTGGATGTCCAAATTGTTTAATTTTACATGCATGAAAATATATTTTTTATAACCTGCACATGTATTGTAATGATTATATATCTGTTTACACCCAAAACATGAAAATATTCAAAAAAAAGTCAAAAGTGCAGCAATATCATAAAAATGGTAAAAATGCTAATTAGAACATCTCATAAATGTTGATAACAACATCCATTATAGAGTCGATGCTTGATCAACATTCCAAGTCTCTTACAAGTACCCACAGTAGACTACACCTAATTAGCATAAAAAGATTCATAATATTATATTACCTAACAAGTATACACGACATCAACAACCATTCTTCTCATTTTAACATTAGGATCCATTGTTTTCTCAAGTCCATAGGGAGCTCCATAAGTGCTTGGAATAAGTGTTTATTAAGGATAAGCTTAACATAAGACTACAAAAAGGTCACATCTGGTATTTTGTGAGTAACCTAAGGCATTTTGGGTAATTGCTCGATGGATTTTAGAGCATCCTGAAATGATGTCTTCGTATCTCCAAGCATGCAAAGAATTTCACCACTAGCTTGTTGCCTCTTTTGGGGTAAATTTGGAGATGTTCACTTGGTTGTTTAGGTGGATCTTAAGAACTTTCAACAACTGTCTCGAGACCATCACCAATTCTTCACTACTTTGTTCTTGTAACAAGTTATTGCCTTATTACTCTGCACAAAAGACACACATTCACAGTTAAGGCGACTTGTTTTATTACAAAAGTAGAATCTTGTTTTATTATAAAAGTAGAACATAAAATAACCAAATGTACATGTACTGACATCCACATATCTAGACCAACTATCAATTGACAACTTACTATTTTCCCAATCCTAACCAAAGTCACTCTAGGAAACTATCTTACTAATGATCTCATAATGCTTGTCAAAAGTTTTGCACCTAGTCAATATGTTTTCCTTTGTGATGTCCACATTACACTTGTCACATACATTATTGATAGAAGCATTGTACACATGTGGCTTTCATCCATTTTGGGAATTATCACCATTGTTGTGATGCTCAACAAGGACAACCAACAATGCAATGTCCATCTCATCTATCCATGTGAGGTAAACCCTCTTTGCTTTTGTTGCAACCATGTGCTATAAGTAAAAGATCACAAAAGACAAACAAAAGCTAGGGTGGGAGCACATAAGAGATGAGGGCCTCACATAGGGAAGGGAAATAGGAGAAAATAGGTAGAAGATAGAGCTACCGGGAGGAGGAACGTCGGAGGATGGTCAGAGACGGGAGAGAATGAGGACAACAGGAAACAACTGAAAGCCCTATGTTTGGTTTTGGTAATTGAGTGGCAACTAGTGAACTATCATTTGTCCTAAGTGTTGATTAAGCTAGGTGATGTCCACACCAAGGGTTGAGCAAGATGGCATCCATGGAGGTGATGAAGGAGGAGGCCACAAGATGATCAAATGCTCAACATTTGGAAACGAAGAAAGAGAAAAACAAAACCCTATGGATTAAAAGGAAAGGTATAAGCTAGGGTGTATGTTTTTGCCGATCAAGATGCAATAAAGTGCGTGATCAGGTTTAGGATAGATAATTGTACTATTAAGAAGGGGGCTCTAGAGTTAAGATGGTTATCTAATGCCACTAGGTGGGATTAACATTGCATATGCATTAAGCCTAATGACGTGGTGGGATTATGAGAAAATGCCTTGAAAAATATTTTGAAAAATGCTAACTCACGTGCACAAGTTGATGAAAACACTTGGGTTGAAAAGAGGAAGAAAAGATCTTGTTGGGCTACTGAAGGAGTTCTGGCGGTCGGACCGATCTCTCTAGCGGTCGGACCACCAGGCACCGAAGGTGCCCAATGTGGCCTCTAGTGTGGAGTTGGGCCGCGGCTTGCTAGATTGGCCCAAGTTTGAAAGTTGATCCACCCATTGCACTGCAATGTGCACTGGATTTGGGCCACCGGAACGGCCCATCGCACTATTTTACCAAAGAGGTTGCAAAGTGGATGAATTGGGCTTAAATCCCACTGGACGTGTCCTTTGTTGGGCCGGATGTCTACATCGGACGTGAACTTTGTTCGTGTGCTGGGGACGTGTGGTGGCAGGACCATGTGGTCGCTCGGTTGCGCCACCTACCAATGGGGCGAGTTTTGTCCGGAACCACTAGAGCTGTTTCGATCGTTGCCCTAGCCAGGCAGTCGGACGCAGGATTCAAAATTTCGGCGAAATTTCGCCAAAATTTCACGAATTTCGGTAATTTGCCCAACCCTCCCCTCCCTCCTTGATTTGCCCAAAGATGCAAAGCTATCCCCTTTACTTTCCTTGAACGTAAAGTCTGCAAGATCAAGCTTCAGTCCCCCCAAATTCAACATACAACCCCAGCGCCGGCCTTATACATGATGAATTTATATGGCCCGACTTTACATTTGAATTGGCTACAGTTACAAGGCCGACAACAAGTTATTTATATACATAATTATTGCTGTCAGGAAGCCTCTACATGCTGGCCACTCGAGAGGGGGCTTCTGTATCAATCTCAGATTCCCCGTTCGATCTCTCCTGGTGTTGACCCTGCAAAAATAACAAGCCGCGTAGGAACAGAAAATCAACGTCCCAGAACCTGAATATTTTTTTCATCAATGCAAGTGAATTTATTTATGTTAAGTGTCCTTCATCAAGTGCCCGGTCACTTCACTAATTGGTTAGGCACATTGACCACTTTGTACATTTGCACGTACACCACTATGCATAAGGAATTTTATGACTAACGAAACATAGACATGGGTATTTCTTAATATTTTAAGTGATTGTGGAGATGCCCTGCTTGAAAAATAATACCATGCCTCTAGCCCATCATAAAAAATAACAATGACATGAACATATCTCGTAACTGCTCTGTAAAACACTACATGTCAATCAGCCAATAGGTAAGATGACCGGCCCTTCATTTTGATTCAACTATACAATGCAATCAATTTATGTGAAAATTAAAATGAAAATGATATGTACCGTTGATTCTTTATTATTGTGCTTGGCCAGATAGAGATCCAAAGCTCTTTCTCCGCAAAGAATCTTAGCTCCAATTCCATGCTGATTTGCAGATCCAACAGACTCCTCGTCAACAACCACAGCATCTATTTTATCTTTTCCAGTTCGCGTCTCTGGAATCTGTTAGAAAATTTTAATTCAGGACAGTGGAAAAATGACTCATGGAATATTGTGACAAAACGCATTCTAAGCTAACTGAACATCACAATGATACAAATCATCCACCAAGAATATAATTCAAGGCAAGACAACTAACATCAATTTTCCTTTAACAATAA